AGCAAGTTCGTAGAACCGATAATTGCCTATATGTGATAAATGTTGTGCATCTAACCAGCCATTACAATAACCAACAGCTTTCCCTCACTAACCAGATTTTAACCAAATGACTTACTGAGCGAATTGCAGTGCTCCAAACTGCAGTGCGCGCCAAGGGTAGGAAATTCTGCCATCTGAACGCATAAAATAGAACAAGATATCTTCGTTACAAACGTCATCAATGAAAGAACGACGAATTTCGATGACTCATTTCCTTCAAGCAAAAATGCGTAACCGGCAATCTCTTTTACTGTCATGAACAACTTTACAACGTTGCAACGTGTTTACATATACGCTGCCCAGCCGATGTACATCTGACAGAGCAGTTTCTTGTCAGTTGCCTGTTGGATCAGATGGTTAACTTGACCCTCGACGTTCAACGGCAGGCCGTAAGGAGCGTCCAACTTTGCTTTAATAGAGCCTTTCAAACGAGTGTCAATGTTCAGCAGGTGTTCTTTGGCCTTCTCCTCACCGGCGGTCGGCCGCGGCTTCGTACTGTTGCGAGTCCATTCGACCAGGGGGTCATGAAGAAACGTTTCCAAAGCTGACCGCAACATACTGTTCTGTTTACGCATGACGCGCATGGTCACCTCGCAGCATCTGCGGAACGGACCCTCGTATCCGAGCGGCCCCATCGCATCGACCATATTGTGTGTCAGACGGAAAGGAACCAGTTCCGGCCAGTCCAAGTCCTCTCCCTTGTTGAATAGACAATTGAAGTCGACGTGGACTACCTCGCCTGTCACTGAATCGATCAAGATGTTCTCACCATGGCGGTCGCCAAGACCAAGCACGAAGCCGACCATGCTCATGACGGCGCCGGTGCGTATGTAGTTCAAACGCGCCCGGTACCATGTGCTTGGGTCTGGGAAACTTGAGCGGAACCAGAAACTGAGCACTGCCGGATGCCGCTTTAGCAGCACGTCTTCGAAAATTTTCTGTTTCTTCGACAATGGATCCGATTTACGAGGAGCCGTATTTTGCAGCTCTTTCATCGTCATCACTGAGCCACGTTCCTTGTAGATCTTTACCATGATGTGCCTGAGGCCCTCCAAATTGCTGACCCATTCGACGAGGCCACAATCTTCGCTCAATGGCACGACGGTGTATGTTCTAATGCACAGCTGTCGTTTGCGTGCCTCAGCGCTGCGCAAGAGACAGATGTTTACCAGGCCGTTGAACTCCATCAGTCGCTTGTCTAGTCGTAAGTCGTCCTTTGCCTTGCACATCACTGAATATATTCGCCCATCCGAACCGCGAAGGGTGATCTTTTTCGGCTTTTGTAGAGAATTCAGTACCTACAATAAAATCAGTAGATCATTGCTATAGTAAAATAAATCAGCGGTACACATATTTTTCAGTAGAGCAAGCGAAACGGATAATGATTTACGTTGTTAAATGGTAAATATAAATAAATTCAGGAAACTTTTCCATACCACAATCTGGTCCGCGAATCCATCTATATACACAGGTTCCGTGGGAAAAACGTTGTAGCCAGACTCAGGACTGCAGCCAGACTTGAGCACCGGAATGTTGAGATCCATCGACGACTGCATGGGTAACATAATGCGGCTGACCGCGCGACTGCGGCGTTCTGCAAGAATGAAACATTGTTCAGCCTGGTCCAGTAATGAATTAGTAGAAGAGAGACTTACCACCAAGGAAGAAGTTGTACAGTTTCGGGAAGTCGCGGCTCATGCACAGCGTGACGCTACGCGATGGGGGAACGTATGAACACAACTGCACTAGCAACTCTGAGAAACGCTCCATG